CCTCTCTCCTCCCTCTCCCAATCTCGCTTGTCATATATACAACCAATCTCGCTTGTCATATATACAAATACATATGTATAATATACAATTATCTAACCGATATACATATACACTTCACCTCTCTCCCACTCTCCTCCCTCTCTCACTCGCCTCTCTCCTCCTTATAACATGTAGCTACGAATTGTAATTATCAAACAATAACTATGGAGAGTAATTAGGCTATTTTTAAGTGGCTATATGCAAAAGTTCCTCAATACTGATTGTAAAATCTTAAAAAAAAAATTTAAAATTTATGATTGTCACGTCATTAAATAGTTATCAAAAATTATATTTTAAAAAATAATACCCGGAAAGTCAATTCAATAAAGTTGAATAACTTTTAAAAGACATAACAAAGTTAAATAATTGAATGCGATGATCAATTATCTAAAATTGAGTGAAAATCCAAGTTTTTTACCCTCCAATATCTACTTCCATGTTATTATCAATTTGGATAACTAAATCTATGTTGATCTGCTTCGAGAAGTTGCACTAAAATGTCTTGTGTCACATGTGGAATAAGTCTTTTCTGGAGGAGCTTGAAATAGAAAATTAGATCTTTCTAGAATTTCATTTTAACCTCTCATACATCATATATGATTATAATTTTACATTATATAAAATCAAATTTACGAAAAAAATGTCATTTTTCGTTTATGCTATGAGTCTTCTATATAATTGAAATATTATTCTTGCTTTACATAGACATATAAGACTTAGCTTCCCTATCCAAAATTTAATTTTCTCATGGAATTTGTCATATTCGATCAGCAATCAGATTGAAACCCCAAGAGAAAACTAGAATTTGACAATTCAAATTAATGTTTTGCTGGAATTAATTGATTGTACCTTATATATATATATATATATATGAAATTTATACATATGTGTATACGATTTGAAAATAGTTGTCAATACTTAAAGAATTTGTTCTAGATCCGTCTCTGACTTTTTAATTTAAATTTCAGGCTCTGGTGCTCAATCAAAAAGATCATTTCTTTTTGGTAGCTTTGAAATGCTTATCAAGTTGGTACCTAATAACTCTGCTGGAACTGTCACAACATACTATGTAAGTATACTTTATATAACATGCATCATGTAACAAAATTAACCGACTTTAAATTTTATGCTCTAATAGTATATAATAAGATGTAAATATTTTTTGTATAATAATATTTTTTTTATTTATCGTGACAGCTATCTTCTACTGGTACCAAGCATGATGAAATCGATTTTGAGTTTTTAGGAAATATATCAGGACAACCTTATATTATACACACAAATATTTACACCCAAGGTGTTGGAAACAGGGAGCAACAATTTTACCCTTGGTTTGATCCAACTGCTGATTTTCACAACTATACCATTCATTGGAATCCCAATACTGTCGTGTAAGTCGGTCTTTTCAGATAACTTCCTTTCATTATATAAAAATCGTCTTACCTATCAATTAAAATATCTCCACCGACCACCTTTATATTATCTATAAATTTCAAATATGTTCTCCGAAAAATACGTTTTCCTTTACGATTATCTCAACTTTTAACTTTATATTGATTTAACCAACTCTTAACTTCATCAAAACATACACTATCCGCTAAAATAATACAACTTTATTTGTCCAATTTATGTATCGTACTTTTCATTTTTAGTCTATCCTAAAAAAAAAATCATATTTTCTTATTTAGAAACAATTTAACTTTAAACTTCTCCTTTTACTCTTAACAAGATGTTTTATAGTGACACAAATGTTTGTCACTTGTTTTAGACCAGGAGTTTCAAAAGTTTTTCCTTTTTAAACTTCATGTCCAGCCAAACAACGTTACATAAATTAAAACAAATGAACTAATAGTAATAATAGTACAAATAATCAATCTTTAATAGTAAATGTTTCTTTCGAAAGATAGTTCACTCTCCAACTAAGCACTCTAAATATTTTTTGAGGATGACTTCTGTCGTACCAAACACAAGAAACTAGACAATTTCTTGAAATTTGATGTGGCAATGTTTGTAATTTTTTTTTCCAGATGGTACATTGATAGTATTCCAATTAGGGTATTTAGAAACTATCAATTCAAAGGCATTCCATTCCCAAACCAACAAGGAATGAGAGTCTACACTAGTCTATGGAATGCTGATGATTGGGCAACAAGAGGTGGTCTTGTTAAAATTGATTGGACAAATGCACCATTTATTGCAACTTATAGAAAGTTTAGGCCAAGAGCTTGTTATTGGAATGGACCAATGAGTATTTCCCAATGTGCAATTCCTACAAAAACCAATTGGTGGAGTTCACCTCTATACAATAAATTGAGTGCAAATAAACTTGGTCAAATGAACTCAATGAGGAGTAAGTATATGATCTATGATTATTGCAAAGATGTGAAAAGATTCAAAGGAGTTTTGCCTATTGAGTGCTCATTGCCACAATACTAGAAGGACATAAACAAATCAGAGTGACTTCACTACCTAAAGAAAGAAAGAAAATTGTTTCGACTCTGTCGAAGCAATAATGAAAACCACATTTCTTAATGGTTACTATTCTCTTTTCGGGAATAAGTTATTTTTAATGTTTTTTTGGTCTTGAACATTTTGATTATATTTGTTTCACTTTTATTTTTACAATGTTGTCATATTGAATAAGATCTTGTTGAGTTGATCATATTATATTCATGTACTTTATTCTTTATAATAAAAAGAAAAAACTTGATTGTTTTTATTCGAAATTTTTACATGATTATTACTCAGAGTAGAAAGATGACCTATTTTTATTCATTTATAAAATCCATCGACTCAAATATCGTCGTATCAGATTATTTTCAATGTTTCTTTGAACTTCAACATTTTGCGTATGTTTTTCTTAGTTATTCTTTTTTGAGGTAAAATTGTTTGTTTCTATTAATCTATCAACGCTCGTTTTTTTTGTGTGAAAGGATCATATATCGACTACTTTAAAATGTGTTGTGGAATCTTTACACAAATAGTTGATCGGATTCATTGTTTACTTATTCTTAATCGATATACATAAAATATACATGAATTATACTGAGTTAATTGTTCAATATCCATCCATTAATTTTGGCCCAAAATGGCTTGTACTAAGGATTTAAAGCAATCTCAAAGTGGAAAATAATTCTACATTTCTAACTACCTCATTAAGATTAGGAAGATAAGATCTAGGTCCCTTAATTGGTATTTATTTACGTTGAGGGTTTTATTTTATTATTAATAAAAGATCGTTAGACGCTTTGTCTAGTGGTATAAATTTGTTTAAAAAATCATTATATATAAATATGTCATTTAACTATTGGCAGATATCTAAGTCCTCCAACTATAGGTATGAACAAGTAGATACTTAAATTTGTGTAGAGTTGAACAAGTAGAAACACACGTCCTACTTAACAATTTGTGTCTTACGCGACATCCTGCATAGCGTCCTACATGTATTATGTCATATAGAATATATGTGTCTTCTTGTTCACCTTTTAACATTTTAAATGTCTATTTATGCACAACCAAAATTGAAGA